AATTAATCCATTATGGGGCCTTGCGTGAGTAGGATCCATTGCATGCCACTCGAAAGTCGCATGCAAATTATTGCAAGTATGTTGAGCATGCCCAAAAAATCATTACACATTTTTAAGCTGTTTCTTGTACGTTTCATTTTTGTGTGAGTCTTTCAACAAGTACAGGTCATAATCGGCGTTTGTGTAAAAAATGAAATCGCGTGCAGAGTTGCAGCCCGAAACTTGAGACTCCGGCTGTTGCATGCACCTTCAAAAAGTTTTCCTTGCGTGAGCTTTGATGCGATTCTGCTGATTTCCCAGCCAAGGTGTGGAAACTCTTGATCAGATATTCGTGTCTACTTTCGTGGCCTTCTCTTTTTGGAGCCAACACCACAGACCGCTGGACAGACCAAAAAAAAAAATAAAAAAGAGCTCAGTTTCATTTTCCTTTCGCGAATCCTTTGGGTTGACCGGCAAATGAGAGGTAGCTGTCTGAATGGCCGCAATGAAAAGCGAGTGTGGCGCGCAAATGGAATAACTAATTAAATTTTCAACTGCAAATGAACAGGAGAGCCAGGAGTATTCCAGGATAGTTGAGCTGAGCTGAGTTGAGTTGAGTTGCCAGCTTCCCAGTCGGCTAACTACCGGCTTAATTAACTTGGCAGATAAAATTTTATGGCAGCCGGCAACGTGCATAGCAAAACATAATCTATTCGATGTAATAGCCATTCATGGCTTGAATGGTTGAGTGGCTGAATGGTCGTCGTTGCCCCTAATGGTTGTCTATGCAAATATGTTGCAATATCCTCTGCTGTGCACCCCCAGCTTTCAGCAATTTTATTTTGGCTATAGCTGCTTCAGGTTCTCAACATGTTAAAATGTTTTTGCATTTTTATTTTAGCAACACCTTGCCGCGGCACGAGTATAAATCAAAAGTGAAATTTTTACACGCACCCAACTGTCTGTAAAAAAATTTCCCATTTACATGTGCGCTCGATGTTTTGGCGGAAAACTCGGGGTCAGGTCATGTCAGACAGCCAACGACTGCCCAGCAATTTTGTAATTGTTTTTTGCGGTTGGCCACGGGAGTTGTGCATCCTTAAAGCCACGGAAATTAAGAGTTCCACTCGTCTGAAATGAAATTATCTTTACAGCAGCCTATTGAGCAGAGAATTCGCACATATTTAATTCATTTTGCAGGAAAACCCGGAAAAATGAAAGGAAAAGACGATACCAAGTGTTCGATTTTATGTTTACTAGTTTTTGTGTTCGCCAATTCCAAAATGTATTATTAAAGATCAATGTAGATTAACGTGTGCTTTCTGCACGTTTCAGAGTCAGAGTATTACTGCATGTGTCGAGTCCAAGTAAATATCGGTATATTATGCGGTAACCAAGCTTAGGGTTTCCAAGCTTAGGTTACCCAAGCTTAGGGTTTCCAAAAAAGCAGTCCGAATATGGGGCATCCAAGTATAGGGTATCCAAGTATGGGGTATCCAAGTATAGGGTATCCAAGTATAGGGTATCCAAGCTTAGGGTTTCCCAGTTCAGGGAATTCAGCTATAGGGTATCCAAGTATAAGGTATCCAAGTATAGGTTATGCCCATAAGGGATATCCCAGTTAAGGGTATCCAAGCTGAGGGTATCCAAGCGAGGGTATCCAATCTGTGCTATTCTACGCCTAAAAACACATTTGGAATCCGAGTCAATCGCAGTCCGAATATGGGTTATCCAAGCTTAGGGTATTCCAGTTCAGGGTATCCAAGCTGAGGGTATCCAATCTTAGGTTATTCAAGTGTAGGGTATCTATGTCTAAAACATATTTGGAATCCGAGTCAATCGCAGTCCGAATATGTGGTATCCATTGGGGTATCCAAGTATAAGGTATCCAAGCATAGGATATCCAAATATTCGGTATCCAAGTAGAGGGTATTCCACTAAGGGGTATCCCAGTAAAAGCAAGTTAAGGGTATTCTAGTCAGTTAGCTAGTTATCCAAGAGCTAATACTATGATAATCCGAGTAAATCCAATGAAAACGCCAAATACTGTGTGAATCGAAATGGTTAATTTTGCGGTGGCCAGGACCTTTTGAAGCGCTCGAGCAACGTAATCCTAACCACCATGGTGGTCCAAATATACACGGATAGCTTATGTTCTCCGCTCGCTTCGCTGACGCCTCCTCTGGCAGTTGGAGCAACCGCAGTTCCGGCAAGATCCATCGCAGCAGCCGCAATCCTGACAGCTGCAACTTATGCCGTCTACACCACCGCTGCCATTGGAGGACGTTGTTTTTGGGGCACCTTTGGTATTCCTCGAGGTAGCCCTAGTCTCGTGCGGATACATGACAAAGTGGCCTGCAAGCCAGAAGTCAATTAGGTAGTTCAATTAGGTATTTCAACTTACTTGTGTAACAAAAACTTAACAACGCAGCTAAAAATTTGGAACGTTACAAGCACTTACACCGAAATCCAAAAACACAAATACACGAAAAACATAAAACTATCCCATTTAGGTCTGGTGATCTGAATAAGTGAAGGCGATCTGAGGATTTTCTGTTCAGGTGCTCGACAACTGCTAAATAATATTCCACAGCCTACTTAACTTAATCTATATTTCATTAGCAACTAAAGTAACTCAAGCTAAAGCGGTTCACATTGTATTTATGCACTTTTACTTGCCTCGGAAGTTACATCCACCTCATTTTGATTGATTGTCTCGCCATAGTCACTCCCTATAAAGATAGATCAAGCATCGGAGTGGCAATCTGGCATCATAATCGATGCATATACCCTCAATTTATCACATGCCACCCATCCGTGGTGACTTTTTGCCATGAGGTACATACCTGCCGGCTGTAATTGGCCGAGCATGAGCTTGGGCTTGTTTAATGAGCGCTTAGTAGTTGGCAACATCTAATGTGCATATTACAATGCCAATTAACATATTTTGCCATCGCGTTCGCCAGAGCCAATCTGCCAAGCCCGGTCCTCGGTCTTCAGTGGAGGGACAGGCCTTCCCGGCAATCAGTCCCAGAGTCACTCTGTTGGTGGTCACGTTTACCGGAGAGTGGGCCTTGCATAATTGCGTCGCCAAGTGCAGGTCCCTTCCTGGGGATCGTAAATAACCCCACTCCCATTTAACATACACATAGATGTGCCCACCACACATGCAACTTGTTTGGCCTTTTTTTCCCGTATTTTTCATTCGGTTTTGTCTAGCCGGGGCATTATGCAAATGGCACTTTGTTTTAACTGCGTGCACTGCGGTTGGGCAATGGATCTGACCACGCCTTTGATGGCTGCCCATCAGTGATGCTAACGATCAATTAAAATAAAGGCGAAAAATCAGGTGGAATTCAATTAAAGGCCGGCGCTAAATCGGACTATTCTTTCATGGTTTTGGTTTCACGCTCCGCATACAAAAACGGATTTTCTACACGATAGTGGGTATTTTTATTACCATTATTTAATAACTATAGATTTCTATTCAAGTGAATTTACTCTGAGCTACCTACTCATTTCCAACTACTTACAATTTGCATCTCTAGTGCCCACAGTCCGGTGAACTGACATTAGTTCGTCATCATCATCATCATCGCCATCTACAAGCCCATGCCGCATCCAAGCCCGACTGCAGCTCCATGTAACTCCACTCGAACTGCATCTGCCTGCAACATTACGCGAACAATTAATATGCCAAGTGTTATGTGTGCGCATACTAATGACTCCTCCAGCTGCCGACCTCTTCCGTCCGATTCCCCCAGCCATTCAGGGCAGACCCCTGACCATCCATCAATGGCCGGTCATCCAAGTGGCGCAGGCGCAGCGGCGCCGCCTCCACAGCCCAACAAGTTGCTTTTAATGATCCCATGGGATGGGGCTACTTAAGCCCATGACCAATATGACTCACGACTGGAGTGGACACGTGCGGATGCCACAAGTCGGCTGCATCGTTAATCTCTGCTGGGAGGAAAGTCCAGGCCGACAGTTTCATGTCTTTGGGGAGGATATTTATGCTTTTATGACGATTGCACTTCTCTTTGGGAAGCTAAAAGGGTAATTAATGCTGGAACTCAACTCAACAAGGTTTCGTAAAGAAAAATGTAATCTTCGAAATCGAAGAAAGGAATATAATTAATAAAGATATAAGAATAAATGGAAATATTTAAAATACCAAGTAAAACTGGAATCCACTTGGAATTCCTTTTATGTAAGATCACAGTCGATTATAGTTCTTAACCCACATATCATCCTGTTTATAAAAAACGCCACAAGCCCCATGAGTTGGCCAAATTGGCCAAGCCGACCACGTAAACGGTGTAAATGTAAACAGTGCCACAAATTTATTGTTGTCGGTGGCATTGTTGCTGCTTTTATTGTCAGCTGTTGTAGCTGTCGACACACAAACTGAAAACCAGCCGACCCACAAAATCGCCGAGAAGTAGCCCCAATAATATAAATCAAAAGAAAGTAAAATTACGATGCGTCGCCGAGCGATCGATTGGATTGGATTGGGTTGGAAGCAAAAAATTCATTTCAATAAGTTTGAAGCGAGAAAAAAACTTTCGCTACTTCAGTGGCGCAAATTACAACAAAAGGCCAGCTTTTGTGGATGAGTGGCTCCGATTCCGATTCTGTGGTGTCTTACTCGCCAGCCAACCCAGTGAAGTATCATGGTCAAGCGGTGGATAGTGTGGATGCCCTGAGGCGCCCACGCATGCGCAGAATACAAATGCAAATTTGAGGGGACTGCGAGAATGCACCGCGAGAAATGCTCACCCAGTTCCATTTCGCCTATTTCCAAAATAACATAAATGACAAATATGGATAGATGTTCAATAACCATTCCCATAGCTCAAATGTTCCATGTCATAAGATTCTTTCTGATAATACGCCAAGCAAAGCTAAAATAAATTCATGTTAAGCCAGTGTTTTTGCGCGGTGTAGCTTGGATTGGCAAAGTGGACGTGCCACCGGCCAGAACCACTTTTTTTTGGGTGAAATGCCGCTTTCAAATGCTGGCCAAGCGGCTGGGCGATCAGTTCGCCGAGAGCCACGCGAGTGAATCGGTGGTGCCGCTGTGGAGAAAGCCGGAAAAAGTCTAGCGAAATGAATCGAGCCTGGTTGTGTCTGCTGCTCTGCCTGGCCTTAAGCTGCGTTCCAAGGCAATCCGCAGCCGAGGATCATGCATCCAACCAAACGGCAGCGAATGCGCTGCTGAAGCAATCGCAGAACACCTTCATCCAATGGGTTCTCTCACTTTTGCCACAACGTCCCGGCGGTTCTGACTCGGAAAATGCCACACTGGCCACCTTGAGCAGCAGCTCCATGATGCCGGACGCGGCATCCACCACGTCGACCACCACACCAGCTCCATCTTCCAGCACCACTACAACCAGGCGGGCAACCACTCCGGCGCCACCCACCTTGAATCCGCCAAGGAATTGCAGCGACTGTGTCTGCGGCATAGCCAATATACAGAAGAGAATCGTCGGTGGTCAGGAAACGGAGGTTCATCAGTACCCCTGGGTGGCCATGTTGCTATATGGCGGCAGGTTTTATTGCGCCGCCTCCCTACTCAACGATCAATTCCTCCTGACCGCATCTCATTGCGTCAATGGTTTCCGAAAGGAAAGAATCTCGGTGAGATTACTCGAACACGACCGCAAGATGTCGCACATGCAGAAGATCGATCGCAAGGTGGCCGAGGTGATCACGCATCCCAAGTACAATGCCCGGAACTATGACAACGATATAGCCATCATCAAGTTGGACGAGCCGGTGGAGTTCAATGAGGTGCTCCATCCCGTCTGCATGCCAACGCCTGGCAGAAGCTTCAAGGGCGAAAATGGCATAGTCACTGGCTGGGGAGCACTCAAAGTTGGCGGACCCACTTCCGATACACTTCAGGTAATAAACAGTAATACCTTAAGTTTCAACGAAAGTATAAATACCCATATAAATGGATCCATACATGTATTCCATTTTATACAGGAGGTTCAAGTGCCCATTTTATCGCAGGACGAATGCCGCAAGAGCCGCTATGGCAATAAGATCACGGATAACATGTTGTGCGGAGGATACGACGAGGGTGGCAAGGACTCCTGCCAGGGCGACAGTGGAGGACCTCTGCACATCGTGGCCAGCGGAACGCGAGAGCATCAGATCGCCGGCGTGGTCTCCTGGGGCGAGGGCTGTGCCAAGGCCGGTTATCCTGGCGTCTATGCCAGAGTGAATCGCTATGGAACCTGGATCAAGAACCTCACCAAACAGGCTTGCCTCTGCCAGCAGGAGACCAAGAAGATCAAGTAGCGATCAAGTATTTCTGTATCTATTCATAATGCAATACTCTTGCTTGGCTGGTAGTGAGTTGCAGAGATTAAAGGCACATTTCAGGCTAAGTTTTAAATTGTATCAGAATTGTGTCACCCATGCAATGTGATACTTCTAGTATCCCCTCAACTTGCAATAGCACCGCTTGAAAGACAAGTTTTCATTGCAAAAAGCTTGTTATTTCCAAAACCACAAGTCCCATGTACCAAGAAACGAACTATTTTCGCCGAAAATAGTTTTCCACTTTCTTGGGATGTGCTTACATCCAGAACTTAAAACGATATAATTTTACTCATTGGCCAACTTTGCAAGAGTAAGTCCGCTTCGGCTTCGTCGAAGATCCCATTTTCAAGCTGTTTTATATTTATTGATTAAAAGAAAAGTTTCCATAAAGTGCGCTAACCTTTCTCGGGAGCCGGTTTCCTTTGGGCATTCTGGTCTAGCCAGTTCTTTGGCTTGGCTGTTACTTCTGGTTCTCATCAGTCTTCTTGCTGGATGTGGTCAGGATTCATTTGGTTAGTTGCCAATTGCCAGTTGGCCAGGTTAGTACACCATGCGTAATTTTCATCTTCTGCTGATTCTTGCCGTAGCACTGGGCGACTTGGCCTGGGCCACGCCCTCTCTGCGTTCCGCCTCCGAGCCAGAGAAGATATTAAACAGTCTAACTCAACTGAGGCAGAGCAGCTTTCTGGACTGGATTCAGTCGATCCTGGGACCCGAGGTGCCAGCGGAATGGGCCTCTCCGGCCAAAAGGGAGTGCGCTGAGTGCTCCTGCGGTAACATCAACACCCGTCATCGCATCGTCGGTGGTCAGGAGACGGAGGTCCATGAGTATCCCTGGATGATAATGCTCATGTGGTTCGGTAACTTCTATTGCGGCGCCTCTTTGGTCAACGATCAGTACGCCTTGACGGCTGCCCATTGCGTGAATGGCTTCTACCATCGTTTAATCACGGTCCGACTGCTGGAGCACAATCGTCAGGATAGCCACGTGAAGATCGTGGACCGCCGCGTTTCCAGGGTGCTCATCCACCCGAAGTACAGCACCAGGAACTTCGACAGTGACATTGCATTGATTCGTTTCAATGAACCAGTTCGCCTTGGCATCGATATGCATCCAGTGTGCTTGCCCACTCCGAGCGAGAGTTATGCGGGTCAAACGGCCGTGGTCACCGGATGGGGAGCTCTGAGTGAAGGGGGACCTGTTTCGGATACCCTCCAGGAGGTGGAGGTGCCCATTCTCAGCCAGGAAGAGTGTCGAAATAGCAACTACGGCGAGTCCAAGATAACCGACAACATGATCTGTGCTGGCTACGTGGAGCAGGGCGGCAAGGACTCCTGCCAAGGAGACAGCGGTGGACCCATGCATGTCCTGGGCTCCGGAGACGCTTACCAGTTGGCGGGCATCGTGTCCTGGGGCGAAGGATGTGCCAAGCCGAATGCCCCGGGTGTTTACACGCGAGTGGGCAGCTTCAACGATTGGATTGCGGAGAACACCAGGGATGCCTGCTCCTGTGCCCAACCAGACGCGCCTGGAGACCCAGTTTCCCCGATGAACACCACCGAGCAGGGAGACCAAGAGAACACCACCGCAGATGGAGCAACCGAGGCAGATCCCGTGGTTGAGGAGGCCAATAAGTTGATTTGAAATTGATTTTTACTGCGCCGAGTTTATTGCAAATAAAATATATTGGTCACTCAAATTTCAACCCACTAAATAAATCGTTGCTTATTCATTGCAAAAAAGGGATATTCATTAAGTTTTCGTAATATCATGCTTCAGAGGGATCTGACTGTTACTTCAGATTTTTTACATCTTGTAAAGTGTTGCAATTAAAAGGCAGAGATAGACTGAATGGTGGAGGATACTGAATGATCCAGCGATCACCGCTCACATGCCGATTTCTCTGAGGTGTTTTACTGCTTATTGTTCCAGTTTTCGGCTTGTTAGCTCCTCCACTCACTGCGCCTCAATTTCCGCCTGTAATCTGCTGCTTTTCAAGTCTACCCTTGGGGCACTCTGCAATTTTTGCCACACGAAATTGCCACTAAATCAAAAAATGCTCATGCAAACAGCTACAACCGCAGACACCTACGCTCGATTTCAGACGACTCTGGAATGGGATGGTGGCTTGTGGTCCGCTGTGCGTGCCGATCCCATTGGGATTGGGCCATAACCCGAACCCGGCCCAGACTAAAGTCAGAACATTGATAAATAACTAAATAATAGAATAAGCAGCTGCAAAGAGGTGCTAAAACTTTAAAGGCGGCTGAAAGTGAAAGAGCTATACGGGTATAACCCTTGAGCAAAGTATTGCACACCCTCTTATAGCTAAATTTCATTACTTATCTTACTTCTCTATTTATATAAGCTATATACTGGCATATGCATATGACAACACCTTTTAAAAATTGTTTTACATTAATCAGATGGCAATAATAATCAAATCTGACTAAAAATGGTAGAAAAATCTCTAAAATGCATACCATAATTCTTGATCGTATAACCTGTTGGGAAAATGGAAGTACCCCTTTGAAAGGGCATAAAAAGGCACCAAAAATTATGTACATCCTCGAGCGAAGTTTTAATTTGTGCGGGCAAATTGGCTTTTGTGGTAAAAATATTTATTTTTCTCGTGGTGCGTCCCATTCCCCAATTCGTTTTTGGCCAGGCGCAAATTTGCTGCAATTGAGCTGAGTTCTGCTTTATTTTATTTTTGGTCTTTTGCACTTTTGTTTTGGCCAGCCGCAGGTTAGAAAAGTTTATTGGGGCGTAAAATTGTTTGATTGAATATTAGTGAGCGGTGCCGCTTTTGAATTTGCCATGAACCTATACCAAAAAACGAATAAACCAAAAGTACTGACGGGCACTAATGGCATAATAAAACGCAGGGCGAGTAATATATTGGCATACAACAGTGTCCAACATGGATCAGAAAACCGAAAGTTAGTGGGGTCACTTTGATATATCGTAAGATATTGATCATCAGGCGATTCCGGCCGCTTGGAGGGCATTTCCCACCACATTTGTTAGTCTTAAAACGCAGAGTAGCGAGGATACCAGTACTTTCTCGGTTAAAATCAGTACCATATCGGCAATATTCGCTGCGGGCTTTACGCAATTTTATGGCGATGATTATGCGAATGTAAACGATTAACTGCGCAACTTACCTCTATAAATGTAATGGTCATACTAAGAGTCTTTTGGGCCAGGATCACGCTGAGACCAATGCAGGTAATCAGACCCATAATTGTGATCAGGGTCAAGGCCTCCACCAGACGAACGGCCACCGGCATTTTTGGGATTTGGAGTTACTTTTGTAAGCTATTTTGGATCGGGGTCAAAAATATATACAAAATGATTACATTTTCCAAGCATAACAGTTTCCATCCATGTCAACTTTACACAACTATTCTACGGAAACGCTTTCCTCCACCTGTTACATGCTTTTCAACGAATCTAGTATACCCTTTTACCCTACGTGTGCGTGTATAATTAGCGCAATTAATAGCATTCCATGTTTTGATCCAATTTAGATATGTCTCTCTTCCAGCTCTCAAAAACCGCCATGGCACAAATTATAGTTTTTCAATCACTTTTTTCCTTTATACGCGACATTTTCCAATTACGCTATGCAAATGCAATTTGTCTGGACTGCGTGCAATTTAGGTTCTCACATAAAGCCCTGCCACGCCCCTTTTCTATTGGAGGACGCCCAGTGATGGGCACTATTTTGTCTGGGCTGGCATAGATTGCTTTGAATTATGGCACTAAATGGCTAGACATGTTACATAATTCATTTAGCCGGCACGGGGACAAATTCCATGATATGGAACATGTGTCTCGCTCCATTTTTCAACGTTTCTCCAGCGAACAATGGAGTACTGGATTTATTATTTATTATTTCAGTAGTCTATTTTGCGATATGGCAAATTCAATTAGCGGCAACTGGGACAAGAAAATTAATTGATTTCCATGCGCACATTTTAAACTCAATTGTTATAGACTCTCTACGCGTCAGTTGGTTTTTATGAAAATATTTTTAGTGGCAGTCTAGTGAATTTTGCTCTTCGTTCTTGCAGCCTTACAACAATCCAAGAATAAATATTTACACACGTTGTCTGGCTACACAGACAGCGGAATAAGCGAAAAGTTTTGTCGCAAATCCTTGGCAAAGACAGCGCCTTGGGTGAACATTTGAAATGGCAAAGCCGAAATTAAAATGAAATAAAGTAAAATAAAATATAGCTACTTGCCGAGAGGGACGGCATAGGATTTATGACAAACCATACATGCCTTCATATTGTATTTACATTTTATTGTGCTGTCAGAAGTCACAAGCCTGCTATTGAAGTGAGCTGTAAAAATCTGCGGGAAAGTTGCTGGAAACTCTTTAAAAACGAGCAAAATAAATTGAAGACCGGAAAGGCCACCTGTTATGCGAATACAATATATCAGAAACACATTCGCTGTGATATTGAGTGCATGCCGCCAAAGCCATTCAATGGAAATAAAATGTCGTCAGCTTGGCAGGAAGTTCCATCGAATTTGAACGCTTGAATAAATCATTTTAACATTGCTAAAGAAGTTTTCGAATGATTTGTGGAAAGCTTAAATCGCCGCTGGTCGAGGCAACTGCAATGTACAATACCAACTTCATACCAACTTTATAGCCATGGAATACATGTTTATAAATATTCAGTAGCACTCTCCTTTAGGTTTCCAAATGGCAATGAAATAATTTCTAATTCAGCTAACGAAAATTGTTCGAAAAGCTCATTATGATTCCCAACGAGAACCGAACAGCAATTTTCCCAATGTCCTTCGACTTCAATTTTACCAGCTGCCTTTTCTATTTAGCCCATCCATCGTGTCTGGCCAAATGTAAGTCTTTGTAACTGTCTCTGTTGTTTTTATTCCTTTGATTTCATTATTATTTTTATTGCTCCGGTCTTTTTGTGTCCAACTGACTGAGTTCGAGCCAAGGCAAAAGGCGCATTTTAATTTTATTATTTCTGTTTGGTTTCATTTTGTGCTCGCAGCAAGCCAGAAAAAAAGAAATAGAATCTATGGCATTCCCATAAAAAAGGGTATTCAAGCCGGGGCATTCACTGATTGTGAACTTTTTTCAATGGTTTGTTTTCTTCTTTTTTTGTATTTTTTTCCGCGTTTTTGGCACATTTTCAAGGCAGCCATATAGACACACGCCCCACTTGCCACATTTTTTATAGAATTTCTGTGTTTGTTTCCATTTTCTCACTGCCCTCTTTGCATTCCACGCCCTCTTATTAAGAATTAATAATCTTTTTTGCCATAAGCTAGCTACAAATTTGGCATTTTATACTTTTTACGATTTCTCTTCGCTCGCAGAGGTCGAAGGGTGGGGCACTTGAGGTCTTCCCGCTCGTGAATCATGGTTATGCCGGCTATAATTTAGTTTTAATAGCATTTTCGGTGACATTTATGCTGTCAGCGCGTCATCCAATTTTATTAATGTCCAAATGAGCCACGCTATATGTGTTACGACTGTATGATATCATTATGAAAAGATTTAATGTCTTTGCTACAAATTAAGTTATGGTTCTCAGATAGCAGTTGAGAAAGAATGGGCTGCGATCTGCAGAAAATGAAGCTTAGACAGAAATGATCCCAACTAGTCAGAAATAATATGAAAGATACATTTGATTTCATTACATTAAACATTAAATGTATCTTAGCCTAAACCATTAAGTCTCTGCTCTAACTATATTATAACAAGTTAAGACGTTGTCAGTGGCACTTAAAGCCTTTGTTCTTGTTACTCGTTTTCCTTTCTCATTTTCAATTTCCTAAGTCCGGTTTAGGAACTCCGTTTTAATGAGTCCCCCGAAGGCAGCAACTGCAGCAACCGCGGCCAGCGCGAACCTAATCATCTCCGGCTCACTTAAGTAATAAAGCAATTTACCGCCTTTCAATATCCCTTTACCATTTTTCAGCTTTTTTTCCGTTCTGGGCCTTGTTCTCCTTGTTGCCTCCTCCCCTGCTCCTCCTGCTCCCCCTGCTCCTCCTCCTCCTGCTGCTGCCGCAGTGGAAATCATCCCCTTGGGGTGGTTAACTCCCACACAAATTATTTTCCCGCTGGCTTCCACTTTGTCGTTACTTCTTGTTCATCCGCTCCTCGACTCTCGCATTTTATTGTTGGCCAGAGGAGGCACCTCGCAGCTCCGGACTTGTCGCCTCACGTTGCCGCACTTTTTATATCCCCGGAGGAGCCGCGTTGGAGCTGGAGCTGGAGCTGGAGCCAAGGGATCAGGAGTCGGAGTTGCTGCAGATTGGTCAGACGCCTGCGGTGTTGCTGGACCCGTTTGATTTTAGTGCCCGGATTGGCAGAAGATGGCAAGTCGACTGGAGCTGGAGCAGACAATGTCCTGCTTCTGGTTCTCGTGTGTAATGATTTTATTACACGATTTTCTATCGAATTTTATTACCTTGGTGCATGACGGTGCGCCAGGATTGCGCCATGTCCTTTGCGCCCTTTTAGCCCTTGCGGCCATCCAAATGGAATTTACGCACTCATAAAATTTCGCCCCCTTTGAATTGTTTGGGAATATTTCGAATGGCCAAGTAGCCAAGCTGCGCTTTGGCCATCATAATTCAATATCATAAAACGTTTATCCAATTAATTTCTCTGGCCAATATTTATGATCGTTTCGTGCGGGCAGATGCAAGGATATTTACATAGATATAGCACTCTATGCATGTTGGACCTTATAAATGGCTCACATAGTTGTTATGGCATAGTTATGCGTTTGGGTTGGTTATAAAAATGTTCATTGATCAGGATGTGTGGGTGTCGAATGAATTTGGGATTTTATGGATAGCTAGCAAATTAATGGGGAACACGAATATAGTATATGATTAAATATTAAAGGTCTTTCAATTTCTACATAACTATTTCCTGAGTGTATTGGATTCCTACCCAGCAGGAATGACACCATTGTATTTATAACAACGAACTGTCATTCATCCATCGAACTGATTAGACAACTACCGGTTGCTGATCCACATTGATCTTGAAAATCTATCCAGCAAATGTGTGGAGGCACGCATCAATGGTTTTCGTGCCCCTCCCGCTTCATTCAGTTATTCAGCTGACCTAATCGAGTTTGATTTCCAATTACGATTATGCTGCTGCCACTTTTTCTAATGAGCACCACATGTCCCCACTCTACTCATCCAAAAAAAGGCAGTGAGTGAGCTTTTATTTGTATCTTTTATTCAGTTTTTCCGTAGCATTGGTTTCAGTGTCAATGTCACGAGGGCCGTGATGTTGCATGCAACGTTTCAAATGGCTGCATGCCAAAACTAATGGGCTTCCCCACGATGACGATGATTTAGCCGGTTTGTTCACTCAAAGCCATGTAGTTAAGTTCCAAACAACAGATTTGTATTCATATGTGGGTCGTGCTCACTCAGAGCCGGAATTATGGCTTCGTTTTCCATATTTTCATTCCCATTTTTGGATTTGGCAATGCATTATTTTACGGCTGGGAGGAGGTGGCGGGTTCAGGGTTCAAACAAAGCTCTCATTAAATGTTTGTAATGGGTGTGAGAAATATTTCATAATGGTTTATTGTTGTGAGATAAACTAGATGTGTTAGTGCTTCCTTTTCGCATTTGTTTATAGAGCAATATTTGTTTGGCCTTCGACGTGCACCGAAACAAATTCGTATGCTAAAAGTAAGATACAAATATTTCTACAAAAATGTTTGTATTAAAAGTTATTCAAATTAAAGATGATTATGAAATACATTAAACTGCGATTTGGAAATCCCCATTCGGACACACACATTTTTCTCAGTGCAGCTTTGGCCGAATTCGCGGCAATGTCAGTGTTGCCTCAAACTGAAAAGACTCATTAAGTGACATGCATACGTGCGGGAAATAGATTCAGCTTTGGATTCGGAATCTCCAGTGGATATCGCCGCCATCGGTGCTCGGTGCTCGGTGCGCTCTGCACTCCCAGCTTTGGGTTTCCAGATACTAACTCTCGATCTGCGCCCTCGTCGGGCGGCCAATGACGTCAGTTGAGCGAGCTTCTGAACCGCATCAGATATCTGAATATGTACCTAACAAGCCACCTAGCTACCTACCCATCTAGCCGTCTATCTATGTATCTTTGTATCTGGCCAGTTCATAGTTAAATGATTCTGTTGCCGTTCAAATATTTGCGTTGAGCTTCAGTTCTCATGCGAACGCCGCGGCGTACAAATGTGCGCACTAGAAGATCGAAAGGTCCTCAAGATGGGGCCCACTCTGGTGTGGCTGACCTTACTGGCCACTCACCTGGCAGATGCTGTGGTGCAGCACCGATCCTTGGAGGACGCTCGTCTGGAGCGCCA